CACTATAACATCACAAAATTTATCCAGGCATCTTGGTTTGATTGAAGAGTGACTTGCTAAATGGAAAATCAAGGTAAATGAAACTAAATACGTTCAAGTGACTTTTACTCTAAAGAGAGAAACATACACTGCAGTTAAAATCAATAATGTGGTCATAGCTTAATCACATTCTTTGAAATATCTGGGAATTCGTCTAGATAGAAGGCTCAGGTGAACAAGTCATATTGATGCCAAAAGATGCCAATTAAATCTAAAATATAAGGAATTATACTGGCTTCTAATTCGAAACTCTAAACTCAGTCTGGATAACAAATTGTTAATTTACAAATTAATATTAAAGTCAATTTGAACCTTCTCTATGGAACTGTGGTGTTCACCGTGTAACACAAATATAGAAAAAATCTGAAGAATACAAAATAAAATTCTCCAAAACGCTAAATGAGCTCCATGGTATATCAAAAACAAAAACATACACAAAGACCTAAATCTACCAAGTGTAGAAGAAGTTATTCGCCATTATACACCTGAATTCCGAGAGAGACACAAGTTGTATCCAAATTTTCATGTTCGACACTAATCTCCTGCAACTGCACTAAATCACCTTAACAGAAAATCATTCATAAATATGAAGACCCTACCTCAAAAGCATACATGTTATTTATTTAAGATTTACAAAATTATTGTCAATTTCTATTTAGAAAGATTTAATAAATAAACCAATGTAAATAAATTTTTTTTTACTTTAAAAAGGTGACCAAATAATAAACACATTCAAAATACTAGTAGATATGTTTATTCAACAGTTTTTGAATAACACGAAAAATTTTAAAATAATGAAAACCAGATCAATTTTGTGTTAATTTATTTATTTGTATAAAGACAAAGCTATTTTACAAAAGAAGGTAACACTATTTAAGGAAACAAAATACGTAAAATATCATTTTTGATCTGTGTCTTTTTTGCATCATCCATATTGGTTATTTCTGAAGCTATCAATTTAAGAAAGTCTTCATCATCGATTGAATATTTAATCGACTCTTTAAATTCTTTAACTTCAACTGCTAATATCTCCTCATTTTGACCATCAGATTTGTTCGACTCATTATACCGCATTGTAGTTATTTCATGCAATACTGGTTCTTTCTCCGTAACTGCAACATCCACTTCATTAGTCACTTGTTCGACCTCTACATGTACTTGCTGTTTGTTAACACAAATTTTATTAATATCTTCTTCGATACCAGCCAAATTCTGGTCGATACCCAAATGTGGAAGCAAGTATGACATTTCATCTTTGTATTTAAATTTTTCATCTTCAAAGAAGCTTCGTAGTAAGCTATACCAATGGGCTTTTAAAGATTTCTCTGGAAGAAATATATATTCATTGCAGTCATATACAGTATATCAAGAACGAGTTTACACATTGAACTACAACTCACTTTATTAACTTATTGTCGCAGAAACACGGCGGTTTCCTTAAATATAAAGATTTTTGATAATAACTTTTTAATAATTATTATATTGAGAATACAAATATAAAAAAAATTTCAGTAGTTTGTTGTAAAATAAACGAATTCTACCACAAAAACAAATCGCACATCATTTTTTGACTGTCCAGTAACTGTTCACACAAATAATACAAAGTTCTTTAATATAAACTTTATTCACTGGAAACATTGTTATATAAGTTTTAAGTATTGAATATAGTCCTTTGTAGTATCTTTGATATATATTACAGATTACATAAAACATCTTTATATTTAAACAAATAGCAGTATATTTGGATTCTAAGTTCAAAAAGTGAATTTTATTTCAATATGTAAACTCATTCTTGACACGCTCTATTTATTAATCAAAAATTTGCTTATATTTACCTGACATATCAAATTGTTTTGCGAGTTCCTTCCAAGCTTCCATTTTTTGTTGAAACGAACCCGTTTTCTCAAACAATACAGGGAATTCCTGTATAGCTCTTATTAATGCTATATTAATATCCATTGAACGGCTTTTACTCTTCACAACCACGCTGCCTAAACTTGTCAGTGCTTGTTATTAAATGATGCGCATTATACTCGTATGTGTTATTTATCCGTTCAGAATAGTCCTCCATAGCCAAAGAACAATTCACTAAAGAGGAAACTATGATATGTACTGGACAAAACTATTTTAAAAATAGTTTGTTGATGACCTATTATATATAAGAAAAAGAACGGACTACTATTTTACCTTTACTAAAGCAATATTCAGATGTGATAATCCACTTTACGTTGGCTCAACTAGCAAATTTTATATTGAGTTGTCATTGCCGATATCAATTGTCCGCGTACGACACACCTCAGAACTAATATTTTCACTAGTTTATAAAAAGTAGAATGGCACCCGTGCCACTTTGTATATAAGCCTGATTTCATTTAATAGGAGCACAATTCAATATAGTTCTCCTCTTTTAACAACTATATATCTTTTAACTCAAGAAATGATATAATACGTACATATTTATTAATAAATTAGAAGACATACATTGCAAATCGGAATACCTTTCTCTTTTTACCAAGAATGTAATTGATTTATTAATATTTTTAAAATCTTCTTTACTGTATATTCATAATATTAAGGATATAATTACTATAAAGGAAGTCAATAATACGTAAATACTTCTTAATTAAATATACAGACTCGTTGATTGGACAGTACAAATTATATCATTCACCATTGTGCGGTTCTAGCACTATTTGTCCTCATACCATTTACTCTCTGTGTTTTATACATATAGCGCGCGATGTCGCATTTTATATTTACTTGTAGTGCTATGACAACACCAGCGCCAAGATAGCAATGTTGGGAGGTCCAAACCGGAATTTGAACACGAAATTTTTCTAAGTTTATTAATTTGTCAATATTAGCTAGATTAGAGTTATTTTCCGAAATATGAAATTTGTTTTGGATAGAAAATTTAATAATCTTTCATTTAGTATATAGCTCATAAGTTATGAGTCATAATTATATGTTGCGTAATAGGTGAGATATTTAAAAAATTAAAAAAACAAATTTTTTTGAAAAAAGTGACTGTTTTTACTTAAAAAATTATTAAAGAACAACTAAGATTTCGATGGACCTGCACGTACATGTGTTTGAAAGGCAATAAGACAAGCTTTCAAATAAAGTACAAATTGTATGCGTGGAATTCGCACAAAATCATGTTAAATGTCATTATTTTCCATTCCGTTTGTTGTTGTTGTTGTTAAATTTCCTTGTTCGTCTTTTCTTTTCCACTACAATGCTCCTATTCAACATTTTCACCTTTTAGAACTTTTCATTTTCATTATTTCACCATAAGTATATATATAAGGTAATAATATGTAGTAATGAAATTAGTTTTAAGTCTAAAGACCTGAAGAAGTTATTTAATCGAACCTAGATTATTCTTATATCATATTATAGTTAGTGGTTGAAAGAATAAGAAGGCGTTAGTTTGACAATCCATTAACATTAATCTTTTAACCTAGATAAACTTAACTATAACCTAACTAGTGAAAACAAAATTTGTAATAATATAATGCCTAAATGTTTATGCGGTTAGATTGATGGAGTTAACTTCGTAAGTAATGTGAACCAAATTTAGTTGAACAATTCATATACTGTGTCATATTTTCATTGTATAACTTAACGACTTTAGTATATAATGGTAAGAGTTCTTATAAAGTGTCAATTTTTTGGAGGATGTTTGTCGTGGAAACAGAATAAAACAAGTGATACTCAAAATTCAAAATAAATATTGTATGATTTGTTACTTTATCATATCCTCTTATATTTATCTTGAAAACGTATTCAATTAGAAATATTAAAGTAATTTCTGTACGCATAACACATTAAGGCAATAAGCTAAAGTGAATCCTTGAAATCGCCGGTGTAACATGTCATATATATAGTAAATACGTGTACACAACATTTTTAAATAAAATGATATAAATGCAAGAGATAAGTACTTAGTATAAGAAATACAAAATATCATATAGATGCAAAGGATGGATGCAATTTTAACATTAACTGAAATACAGAGCGTTTGAGAAAGTTCTAAAACGAAACTCATAAAAGACTTAATATCTCCAGAATGACCACATTTGTTTTCTGTTTAATTTTATAAACACGAGGATTATAATTGTTCAAAGTAAATTTTTTTAAGTAATTTTTAGATGACTTTCAATATATTGTAAATATTGAAGAAAAAAATATTATATTGTTACAGTTGGCTTCTGAAAAACTAACAAATTTTCTAGGGTAAATAAGTTAAGTTAGTGAGTTTAAAATATGAATACTTCAAAAGCATATAAACCTCGTTCTGGAGTATTTTCAGAAATGGAATATAAAATTAATAATGAAAAAACTAAGGCTCTGTTTATAACGCGTAAGTGGAGACAGAAGCCGTCGACAGTGAGAGTGCGTGATATGGCTCAAAAAAGCTTCAACATAATAAAACTTCTTTTTCGATATATAAAGCATGCATCCTTTATAATTTCTTAACACGATTTCCATTTTTTCTTGAACCAACCGACAATGAGTTGGAATTTTCCTATAAATTTTTTGAAATTTCTTTAATCTAATTTTGGAAATGGTAATCCGAGCACGAGATTTGAAACGAATTGGCACCATATTTTACAAAAATATAGTGATATTTGACTATGGGGATGATATTGATGTTGTATGATAAATAAACAAAAAATTAAGTACTTTCTGTCGACAAATAAATTTATAAAAGAAATTTATAAATAAACCACGTCACTATTGATAAACCAACAACTAGAAGATGTGTTTAATTTTATTTATTTGTGGAGCACCGTAATAATCTCTCAGCCCTCTTTCGACAACCAAAAATCACGTTTTTCAAGTTCCTTATCATGCTTCATGCCCCTTCTGTTATATGGTGCAAAAGCTTGTACAGTAACCAACAGTAAAAAAAAGCCGTTAGAAACATTCTAAAAAAAACTTCTTCGAAAGATTGAAGTGATCTATAATCACTTACGCGATTGTAGTATCCAATTAGAGTATCGAATTAGATGGTGCAATGAGCTATACGAGCTATATCGCAACATTGACATTGTTAAGGGCTGGTTGGGCAGGTTACTAGAAGCAGCCAAAGTCAACTCACGTCTTTAATGACACAGTAAGTAAGTAAATGCTCCTACCCCACCCTACTTATTTACTGAACTAATCTCATTACTTTCTTGTAACAATTTTGAGTATTTTGCTACTACGTTAAACATAAGAAATATATAATTAATAACTAGAAAACTATAATTTAATAGTTCAATTCACAACCAATAAACAAAACTCCAAGTTATGACAATAAAAGTGAAGTTTAGCTTTGATCCAGTTGGCTAAATAAAACTAATTCTGATAGGATATTTGATAGGATATTCCAAATTTAACATAAGTTTAAGTTTAAACAAAACAAGCAAATATGGATCTAGTTCAATTGGCTAATTAATACTGGCTCTGAGTTTCAAATTTGGCAGGGTGCGGGTTCAGCCTTTAGTACATGCAGTCTCAATAATTATTATTCACAAATAATTTAATGTGAAAATTCGTGAATAACCATAGATAATAAAAATATATTAATAAAACTATATAGTTCTAGTCCTACTCAGAAATCATTTTATGAAGAAAATAATGTCATGAAAAAAAAAAGTTTCTTTCGTCATAATTCATTTTCAAAATCAAATTTATAAATAAATTATCTTTTCTTATTTTTATTGTAACAAAAGTATACATTTTATTTTTTTTACTTTTAGCGATTGATATATTATTCTTTTGATTTTTTACTTTCACTTGCATATTCTCATATCAAGAAAGTGTATTCCTTTTCAAGCCAGTACGATATTCCACATAATATTAATGAGTTTAATGTGCATTTAAATTCCCAAAAGCGACAATAACAGCTGAAAGGACAAAACCAACTAAGGAGGAACAAAGCTCAGTGAAAAGTAAGTCAACTGGCAAGACAAAAGAAAGAAGAGTGGAAAATGCTAAGAAATTATAACCGAAATGAAATGAAGATGCTGTAAATTGCAGGATGCACAAATGCACAAAAGTATAAATTTTACCAACTTACAACGTGGCAGTGTCGAAATATTAGAGCGACAAGCGAAAATGTCAAGGGATAAACACATAAGTTTACTCACCGACCCCGATAAACAGACTCACACCAGGACGTATGTATGCACTGACGTGCATAAACATGTTCATAACATATACAAATACACATGACGCCAGTAAGCGAGTTGGGAATATATTTCGATCATTAATTTTAAAGTATCTACAAAGAAGCGTGATAACGATGAAACGGAAATGCAACAACAGATATGGACCAACAACTAAAACAGGCGCATATGTCGAATGTAAAAGTGAGTGTAATAAAAAATACTAGAGATGCGAGAAATACGGAAAAAATCAGAAAATTACATATAAAACAATATTTCTAAAAAATCACACTTGCACACAAAAACACATAAATAAGGAAAAAATCACGAAGCTTTTAATTTTTCAACTATTGTTGCTTCTTTCAAAAATTCAACACATCCACATCCACTGAACGTTGCACATTTGTGAAAAAGTGCTAGGAGAAGTGGCATGTAGCAGCACTTTAAGCAATATGTTGGCATTTCCCCTTGACTTTGTTGCAGCTTGGAAAAACCTATTAAAAATTAAAAATATATTTTTTTCGTATTTTCATATTTTTTCGACTTTTATTTTAATTTCATATTTTTAGCATAAAAGTACGCTGAAAGCATTGCTGTATGTCTGACAGTTCCCGGGAGATTCTTGTTATTAAATGACATTCACTTTTAATTTAAAAAGTTTACTAAGTAAATAAGCTCTAATTAACATAATGTTATTTGAAGAATTTTAAAAATATTTTTTAAAAATGACAAAAATGCTCATATTTATGAAATAATATTTTTATTCTCATGCATCTTGTGCAAGTCTATAAACTTTTAAATACAATTAGTTCGTCTTAGCATTAAAAAAGTGCACATGATAATGCAGGGTATATACGTAATTTTTAAGTTACTATATACATTACTAAAACCATATTCACAACATTTATATGTGTCTGTTCTCTATAAAGCATTCTTATT